TGAATAATTACTTAGCCCAAAATTGACACCAAATTGATGAAAGAAATTGGGGAAAACTTCTTCCTAGGTATGGATTGATTTTAAATAGACACATAAAACCCTTGATAGCATGGTTATGGGTTAGTTGTTGTTGATTCTTGGGTGTAAGGTACAACTGAGTTTTGGCTATCAAGCTACCGGAGGATTTGACCGTTTGGAATGTAGGAATTTCAGAATTTTATCATGTTTGGGGGCTCGGTTTTGTTGAATATTCTCTTGTTCCCAAGGTTTAAGATTTTATAAAAGAATGAATTTAAGTTGACCAAGTATAATCAAATATAGTTGCTCATCGAAGAACCGTTGCTCGTGGACGCTCTATACACACACACCGGGTAATTACTCCGTGTGAATCAGGTAAGTCATCACCACCTATACATGATAGTTCTAAATAAAGCATGGAAGTCTAGCTAATTATGAGTTGGAAATGTTTGCTTGCTTGAATGCTTCAACTTGTATGATATGATGATATGTGGACTATTTGCTTGGATACTTAAACATGATGTTATGTGAATTCCAAATGATATGGATGCATTGACAGGTGGAGTTAATGGTAAAATATTGGAATAGTAAAGACAAAGTATGCATGCTTATTTTGATTGTAATTGGGTTCAAATAGAACCAACGATGAAAGGAAGTTATGTTGATAATGATATGAAATGAAGGATAGGTAATGTTACAAGGTGGTCGTGCCCCCAAGGGACTCCTTCCGCGGGGAGTCCCAGGGTTGCTTCTGATGGTTGAGGGCTAGCTACCCGAGGTCATCAGCGAGGGGCCAGGACATGAGCTACGGACCCATAAAGTTAAGGAATAAGATAAGAAGAAAGAATGATGAATAAGGAAATCCCTTAGGTTTTGTTACCTGAAGTTGTGTTATGTATTATATGAGTTTGTATGTGAATATGTTATGTGAATTGAGTATTTTAGCTGATGTATCAATTTATGGCTAGCTAAGACTCCGTTATTTTAGTGGATGAAATGGTGACTTACTAAGCAAATTTTGCTTACGAGACTTCTATTTTCTTGTGTTCTCATGTATAGGTAATGAATGAAAAATGGAAGCTTGAGAGAATGTTCGGGACGGGTGGCAATGCCGTGGATGGTTTAACGGAGAAGACCTGGTTGTGTCTCATGTTTTGTTTTTGTACTATGACACTTTTATGGGTCGTTTGATGTTTTGTTTTTAAAATCCTGATCAGGTGTGATAAACTTATTTTTAAGGGTGTTGTTGTTCGTCGCTTGACATTTTCGTTATGAAGTTTTCTTATGTATATGAGAAATAAAGTTTCATGACGAGACTTTGTATCTTTATTCTCCGCTTTGTATATTGAGTCTTCTTTATGTTGAGTACCATAATGGCCGTTTGGGGATGGTAGTTACATGCCCTCACCTTGTCCCATACCCTGCATGTAAATGAACAAAGGAAAAATAGGTGTGGAATTGTTTCCAATCCACCCTTGCATAAGTCACATCTATTAACCATGTGGAGGTAACCGAGGCTATCCTGGGTGGGAAGCCGGTCGCCAACCAAACATTGAACGAGAATGTGGGAGGGATATAGGATTTCCAAATGAAGCACATTGGAGTCCTAGGGGTCCCTTTAACTGTTAAGAGTTCATAGACCTTGCCCGTAATCAATTTCTCAATAATGCTCCTAGCATTAAGTCCCATTATGGTTTCGTTTAAGTTGTTAAAACATCCTCGTATCTTGTCTAGAATTTGGCCCAACCTTTTCAAGAGTTGCGAGTCTCGGCCATGTGGGATGAATTCTCACACACTTTTACCTTGAAGGTATATACCATTGACCCAACGGACCCATAAGGTATCCTTCTTTTTATGAACATCTCGTAATGTGCGAGAAAGGAGGCTATCGTTCCAAGCTCTAGCATTGTGAATGTCGAGACCCCCTTCCTCTTTTGGAAGACAAATGTCATCCCACACTACTTTTGCATATTTGCCACCCCACAAGAAAATCCTACAAATGGACACTATCCTATCCAAGATGGTTTGGGGAACCGGGAAGACTTGGAGTTAAAATGATTGGACCCATTGGATCACGGATTGAATTAGCTCAATCTTACCGGCATAGGATAGTGTTTTTGTATTCCAAGTGATGGACAGTGTACCCGGTGGGTAGCTTATCCGAGGGGTTATCGCGAGAATAACTTAGAGAGAAGTGAGAGCAAACAAGTAGGAGAGAGAGAGGCGATTATATTAATGAACTCGAGATGTTCTGATCTGGGATCCTTTACAATGGGGAAATGGGGTGCTATTTATAGTAGCAATAAATGCGATGAGAGTACATGTGGCGATAATCCGACGGCCGAGGGGTCACCTCAATCGGGTGGCACTGGCAGTCGCATGTGCTCCGCATTGAATGCGGTGGGTGAATGTGACGTTGCATTAAATGCAGTGGTTGCTTGTCTCCAAAGGGAATCTTTTCGATGATTGAGTTGTTGGCCGAGGGCTCCCCCTGCGGCCGAGGGCCTGTGTAGCCGAAGGCATGGGAGTGCCGAAGGCTTCCCTGATGCCGAAGGCATCAAAGTGGTAGCCAAGGGCTACTGCATAAGCCGAAGGCTACTTGTAGGCGAGGGCTACTGTTTTACGCCGTTTTCTCCCAGTAGCTTCGCATGCTCAAATCTGGCTGCCCTGTGTATTTTGGAGCCTTCGGCCAAGGAGGCCAAAGGCACCCCAGTGTGTATTTTGGGCTTCTTTGAGACTCGGGCCGCTGTATTTGGGCCTCGACTGTTCCTTGGGCTCAATGGGCCTCTATAGGAGAAGTAGGAGTCTATGGGCCGGGGGTTCCTGGGCCATATACTCCATCACCAAGCTTTAAAAAATCATTGACTATATCAAGTAAGGGCGCATATTGTGCGGGGCAAGTGGAATTCCAAGGTACCTTACCGGGAATGTCCCTTGCCCATAATCAACCATGCTCAAAATATTTTGAAGCTCAAGGTCTCTCACCTCACCAATAAAAATATTTAATTTTTCATGGTTTACCCTAAGGCCCGATACATCCCCAAACTCTAAGTCTGATTCAACGGCAGGCGGTTGTCTGTGGTTCTTTTGTCGTTTAACTCCCTATCTAAATTAATTAGACTAATTGTGAACTTCAAAGAATTGCTTTTCCATTTTTATCTTTTACTTAATCATTTATTTACACTTAACACCTCAATACTTTTAATTAGAAACTAACCTATAATTTATAATTAGATCAAACAAGAAGTGGTGAGGACTGAAGAAGTGAAGAGTGCTGGAGAAGAATCTGCGGAGTGCACTCCGCGGTACTTCCTAGTTCCTACTGGTTAGCGGCGGACGCAGGCATTTCCGGTAGCAGGGGCGGCAATACAAAAATATACATACAAATACATATACATTAAAAAAAATTGGGATAAATATACCTAGATTTTTTTTGGAGGGGCAGCCGCCCCCCCCCTTTGTCACCCTCATGTGTCCGCCGCTGCTACTGGTCGTCTGGTCCGATATAGTAGAGAAACTTGAGCAAAGGCAGTGGCAAACTTGGAAAGCATATAATTTAAAAAATGTTCTTTATACATGACAGTTTATACACAGACAATTTGACCGGAATTTTATAAAAAAACCAATTTTCACATGGACAAAAAAATGCTCGCATTGCAGAATTGTCTGTGCAACGGACAATATGACCGGCGTGTACTAATGAAGTGCTTCATTGTCTGTGATACAAGCAATTTTTTTGGTCTATGTGAAAATCAATTTTCTTCATAAAGCATAGGGATGGACTCGGTTCGGGCCGGGGCCGGTTTGGGCCTTGAACCGGCCGGGCCTCGGTTCAAGGTATGGGAGGCCCGGAACCGGACCGGGTAAACCCGGGTCCGGTTCGGGCTGGGTCACCCGCCCGGTTCACGGGCCGGGCTGAGCCTTATAATTTTTTTTAAATTATATATTATATTATTATAATAATTCTTATTAAAAACAAAATTCAAGTGCATTTATTTGAAATAGGAAGTACATTTGAGAATTGAGAAAACAATAACAATATGAAATACATTTTCTAATAAATATCAATTGGGATTTCCGCCACCGTTGGTTGTTGTTTTGTCTTTGTCACATGACTTCATATGTTTTATTGGCATCCCGACTCCGTGTGAACGCCCCAAGCAACACTCTTTCTTGCACCACTTGCAAGTTGTCCACCACAGTCCGGTCTTCGGGTCCTTCCACTTATCAAAATTGTTTTGCATAACAGAAGAATTACTTTCCATCTTTAAAAAGGTAGATGTGTAAGTAGAAATGTAGGATAATAAGAGAAGATGAAGATGGAGAAGAGTTGGAGAAGAGTTGGATAAGAGGTGTAGAAAAAATGGTAGAAAATAGATGTATTTATAGATTTTTTGAACCCCACCCCCACACCACCACCCCCCGGGACCCCCCCTGCCCCCCACCCTAAGCCCCAACGGCTATATAGCCGTTTGGGAGCAATTTTGTATTTCAAAATGTTTTTAATTTTTTTTTTTTGAAAATTATACATATTGTAAAATAAGTTAATTAATTTAATGAATTAAGTAAAACTATTTTTACTTAGAAAAGTGATTTGATTTATAATTTACAAATGTTACAAAATAGGTGTATAAGTATTTAAACAAATTACATATTGAAGTTGTAACTTGTAAGTTTGTAACCAATTAATTAATTTACATATTAATATTACATATTTTAATTTAAAAACAGCCTTTAGATTTTACAAAAATAATTTCAAGTTGTAAGTTATAAGTTTGTAACCAATTAATTAATTTGAGAAGTGCTACATATGAAAAAATAAACGCACATTTATTTGAAATATGAAGTACAAGTTTACAAATTAATTTTATTGAATTGATTATTGAATAATTTTTTTTAGAATTATTGAATTGATGTACACAATAATATAAAATAATTCAAGTATATTTATTTCAAATAAGAAGTACAATTGAGAATTAGGATGCATTTAAAAAATGTAATACATTTTGTAATAAAAAATCAATCGGAATCTCCGCCTTCGGTGGTTGTTTCCTCCATAAAGTGGCGGCTGGGAGCGATGGTCATTTCTTGAGTTCTTCGTTGGGCCTTCAACCAATCGTGGAAGCAAACTAGCGTCTCAAGAGAGCTCGGGCTCAACCTCGTTCTATAATCGGTTAGGACGTTGCCGGCCGCACTAAATTCTTGTTCCACGGCAACTGTTGATATCGGCATTGCTAGCACTTGCTTAGCCATCTTTGATAAAACCGGGAACGTTCTTTCGTTTTCCTTCCACCAATTAAGAATGTCAAAGTCATCCCCAACTTCATAATCAACATTCAATGTTAGATACAAAGAAAGCTCGTTAACTGAGCTTTGTTCAGTAGCGGGAGTTGCTCTACTTTTTTTCATAAGAGAACTAAATGCAGATTTTAAAAGTGATTTTCCTTTAGATGAAGAAGATGTTCGCGGCATGGGAGGGGGTGCATTACCATACTGTGCATGAAATTCATTATACAATTGATGAAATAAATTACTAACCCCGTTGTATTGTTGTTTATGGTCGATGGGATTATCATCGAACTCTTGAGTTGAAAAAAAAGAAGCATAATAGTAATCTATACAACTTGGCAACGAGGCAAGTTTATAACGAGGATCAAGAACAAATGCAATACCATATATATGCGGAACATGTGAATAATATTTTAAAAACTTTTTTTTTTCATGAAATCACAAAAATAACTAACGTAAGCGGCATCGGAAAATTCTAAAAAAGCGCCGGCGAGATTAACAACTTCAACAAAAAATTCGTTTGCAGTAGGTTTATAAACATGACTAAAAGTTTGAGTTGCATTATTAAAATATACCAAAACATTAACAATTTTTTCACAAGTGTCGATGTCAGCCGGGTTTATAATATAGTTACAAGTTTGTCTTAAAAAAGCAGGAAAATAATCTTTATATCTAATAAGTACTTGAATTAAGTTATAAGCACTATTCCAACGAATAGACAAATCTTTAGGAAAAGCACAATAATTGACATGTCTTTCCTTCAAATATTGCCGTCATTGCATTTTTAGTAGAGTGTTAGCCCAAATCAATTTAATTCCCCCCTTCACTACCTCCAAAGCATTTCCTAATGCCGCTAATCCATCTTGTACACACAAATTTAGAATATGACATGCACAACGTTGATGAAAAAACCTACCCATCAATGTAGAAGCACCACACAATTCACGCAATCTAGGTATAACAGCAGTATTATTACTAGCATTATCAAAACCTACAGCGAACACCTTATCAAGCAAATTATACTCAATTAAAATACGCTCAATGAGAATATAAATATTATCAGCAGTATGACGATCATTGAATTCACGAAAAGCAAGAACACGTTTATGCATATTCCAATCATCATCAATATAATGTGCAGTAAGACCCAAATAATATAAATGATGATAAGTATCCTCCCATATATCGCTACATATACTAACACGTCCATTAAAGTTTGCGAAAAGGTAGATTCTATGGTACCCCAAATGTACCTTACCTTTGTCCAAATGGACCAATAAGAATGATGCAGTTGAATTATTTAAATCTAAATTAAAAAGCATATAATGATTTGGACCAATCAAATGCATGATATGTACGGTACCCCATTTTTTAAATGGGTACCGGAGTTGTCACCTTGCGAAAAATGTTTGTAATTTTTCTTTTTCGAAGTTATATTGCCTTATAACTTCTTTTTTAATCGTTTTGCGACTATAATTTCTAAATTGAGGATTTAAAGTACCTTGAGCATAATCTCTTAAAGCAAGACTTTCGGAAAAAATATAGGGTAAATTTTCTTCAACAATTAAATGAGACATACCAGTCAAATGTTTTTTATCATCATAGGAGAAATTACCAAAGGATTGAGAATTTGCAAACCTCGATATATGTGTTTGCTTCCCCTTGCCCTTGTCTATTTTTGCGTACTCCACAAAATGGGCGGACTTAAGATGCCTTGTGAGACTCCCGTATCCGTCAGAAGTTCCCAAGCTATACTCTTTGCCGCAATGATTGCAACTTGCGTACCATTTTTCGGTATTTTTGTCTTTCCTTTTTGTAAAATTGTTTTCAATAATAGGAGATTTGGATTTCTTACCAGTTTGGGTTGAACCTCCCTCGTCCTCCAACTCTTGCTCATCATCCGGGGTGCCGTGAGTCCCGTCGCCCCCCGCGTCCTCCTCCGCATCGTCATCCTCGAGCTCCTCTTCAACAATGGTTGTCGGGATGTGTTGTTCTTGTGCAAAGCGTGGATCATTTTGGGACAATAGGTTTTGTAGATGCTCGTCGGACATCATCATATCATCTCTCCGTTGGTAATCCGTTTCAAAGTCATCTCGACTTTGAAAAGAAGACTCGGCCCGCGCTTTACCTTTGTCTTTGCGTGAAGTAGGACGAGTCGATGCAATCTCCCTCTTGCGGTTGCGTTGGAGATTACCCACATCTACAGAATGTCTACCACGCTCCATCTTTAAAATTGAACAAATATTAAATGATATCAAATATTATATATGAGTACAATAGTAATAATAAAATGTGACTAAGAAAAATATAGCAAATTCGAACTAAAATATGAGTATATTTTAGTGTAACAATTTGTTTTCCTTGACAAAAAAATCGAACTACTTCTAATTAATACTTTAATGAGAAATGTAGCAATTAACTAATATGAGAAATGTAAAAATTAACTAGTTTTTTTTTTACTTTAATGAGCAATGTAGCAATTAACTAATATTAATATGACAAATGTAACAATTAAGTAGTTTAACTAATATTAATATGACAAATGTAAAAATTAACTAGTTTTTTTTTACTTTAATGAGCAATGTAGCAATTAACTAATATTAATATGACAAATGTAACAATTAAGTAGTTTAACTAGTTTTTAAAATGACAAATGTAGAAATTAACTACTTTTTTTTTACTTTAATGAGCAATGTAGCAATTAACTAATATTAATATGACAAATGTAAAAATTAACTACTTTAACTAATATTAATATGACAAATGTAAAAATTTAATACTTTTTTTATTTAATGAGAAATGTAGCAATTAAATAAGTAACTAGTTTAACTAATGTTAAATGATAAATGATATGTAACAAGTAACTATTTTTTTTCTTTAAAGAGAAATGTAGAGAAATGTAACAATTAACTAATTTAATAGATAAATGAGAAGTCTAACAATTAACTACTTTTATAAAATGTATGAATGTGTATAAGTCTATATAGTTTATATAACTTGTAAATGTATTACAAGTAATATATAATATAATGTTTATAGTATATAATATATAAGTATATTACTATAAGATGATTAATACACTTATACTTAATACTTTAATATATATGTATGTATATATATAAATATATATTAACTAGACTAATATTCAAGTCCGGCCAGGCCGGACCACTCCCCCCGTCCGGCCTCCTCCATTTGGGGGTCTTCCCGGTGGTTTTTTTTGCTCAAATTTGTTGTGTAGGTTCCTCATCAAGTCTAGTTCATCCATACCAAATTTCAGCCAAAAATTCAATCGGGAAGGTAGTCAAATGATTTTTGCAAGTTAACTGGTCCGGAAAAATATGGTGCATTCTGCACACATATAATGTGCAGTATGTTTCCAGGATTTATTTGACTGCCTTCCCGATCGAATTTTGAGCTGAAATTTGGTATGGACAAACTAGACTTGATGAGGAACCTGCTCAAAAAATTTCATCAAAAGATTCCACCGGGAAGACCCTCTGATGGGCTTGTCCGCACTAAATAACAAATAAATATGAATGTGTATAAGTATATATAGTATATATAATGTGTAAATATATCATAAGTAATATATAATATAATGTTTATAGTATATAATATATAAGTATATTACTATAAGATGAGTAATACACTTATACTTAATACTTTAATATATATATATATATATATATATATATATATATATATATATAAGTATATATTAACTAAATGTAATATGTAAATATAAGTAAATAACAATAGTATGGATAATAACTAAATATCAAGTAAATAATATATATATATATATATATATATATATATATATATATATATATATATATAAGTATATATTAACTAAATGTAATATGTAAATATAAGTAAATAACAATAGTATGGATAATAACTAAATATCAAGTAAATATGAATGTGTATAACCATATATAGTATATATAATGTGTAAAGAATTATAGAGCCCGTTTGGAGAACTCTGTTTTCGGCTTATCAGGCTTATCAGCCAGCTTTTTCACCAAACACGTAATTTTTACTTTCGCGCGCTGAATTGTGTAATAAGCCGAAAAAGTAAGGTTGGAGTTACTTTTCTGGCTGTATTGGCAGAAGTTACTGTAGAGGACCATTTTAGCTATTTTTACATATAATTTTTTCTTTAATTTATTAATAAAATATATTTTTAAAGTATTTTTTTCTTAAATCAGCAGAATCAGCCAAAACAGCCACTCCAGCCAGAATATCATAAATTTCAGCAGAATCAGCCAAAACAACCGATTTTGGTGCTACCAAACGGGCTCATAATATGAATGTGTATAAGTATATATTTATAAGCAGATAATTAATATATAAGTAGAATAGTAGATATTATAATTATATAAATTATATATATGTAGAAAGAATTTGGAGAAGATGAAGAATGAAGATGATTGAATATAAGAGATTGAGAGAATAGAGAATCAGAGAGTAGGAAGAGTTGTAGAAGAAGATGTGTAAAAAATGTATAGAAAATAGGAGTATAAATAGGTTTTTTTGTCTACCCACCCCCTAACCCCCACCCCACCCCCTAACCCCCACCCCACCCCACCCCCTAACCCCCACCCCACCCCACCCCCTAACCCCCCAGACCCCCCCCCCCCCTATGCTCCCAACAGCTAGAGAGCCTTTAACAATTTTTAAAAAAAAATTAAAAAATATGACCATTGAGGCCCGGACCGGGCCCGGCTGGGCCGGTTCACTAAATATCAGGCCCGGGCCCGGACCGCTATCCTATCGGGCCGGGTGGCCCGAACCGGGCACTAACCGATTCACCAGGCCGGTCCGGGCCCGCACAGTAGCGGGCCGGTCCGGTTCCAGGCTGGTTGGCCCGGCCCGAGTCCATCCCTAATAAAACATCGATCAAATTGTATGTGCACAGACAATTTGACCGTACAATGGCGTCGATAATGCCGTGTACACAAAGCAGGACCGTATACTTTAGCACCCTTTAAAAAATGATGTTTTTAGTAAAAAAAGAAAAACAATTGTGGGAGTCCGCTGACCACCCACCCTGGGGCCTGGCCCCAATACTTCCGCCCCTGGTTGCAACTCTCCCACCCACTTGCTCAACATCAATCATACACATTCATCATTCAGAAGGTTTCCACATACTAATCGTTCATTACACTGCATCAGGCTATATGTTACAACAACAAAAAGGAGTAAGCTGATTTGTGTACAAAATACAAATGATTGAATGATGTATCCAATCTGTACTCCGTCAAGGACAAGCCTTATTCTTTTGTTTCTCAGAATCATGCAATATTTACTGAGGTGAAAATCCAAAATCATTTCACCTCCATTGAAGTGAGTGGGGGAAAATGCAGTCGTCTGCATTTGTAAAAACCATAATGACCAATCTCAATCAAATCTGCAACATTATATTCAAAGAATATTAGAGCCTGCCTTTGAATGAGTACTCGTACTTTATTACTTTTGTAGGGTCCTTCGCTTGGAGGACGGAAAATGAGAGGGAAAGAAATCAGGGAGGTGAATATAGGAACAATTTGAAAGGAAATACAATGTGAATCATGTGATGGACAATAAAATAGACTCAAACTTGAGAAAAAATAGTACTCGGTAGTACGTACTATCTATTTGTTTAAACTCATCTTATTCAAATTTCTATTTTCATTTGCAGATTTTGAGGCTAAACTAAGCACAAGAAATAACTTTAATTAACATTTGGCTCCTTACCCTAGATTTTTATGGGATCAAATGCAACATGTAATGTAAATTCATACTAAAAATATAGTATTTCATTACATTACATCATTACATATTTACAAGTTATCACGGTCTACAAAAGTATAGTACGGAGTAGTATACATAAACATTCTCCAAAACTAGCCCTTTTCATCTGTGAATAATGCATACTCTCATCCATTACTTAATTATAAAGCTATAATGGGATGATGAGTCTCACCACTTGAATCAAGATGCAGGGAATCTACAAGCTACTTGTTCAAAAAATTCTTTGCTAGCATCTGCAAATACAAAGTGAGATGACAATAAGAGGACGAAGGTGTCCCATTTACACAGAAAATTTGTGCCATTCGCAATTTGAATATGAGATGACGGTTTTAATTACAGCGTCCAAAATTACAGGGCACGCCATCAAATTGCCATTCATTGAAGGATCCAAATCAGATAAATATGAATGACTCCGTAGTAAGTGCCAGACAATCTTAACCCTTTTAAAAATCTCTTTTGGGGTATAAAATCTTATTCTCAATCTCATGTTTAGGATATTAAAAGAGTCTTACAAAACCACTACCCTTTTAGGGTTAAGTTAAGAAATAACCATATTCTTGTTCGTCGTTACTTATATTTTGGTCACATAAATTCAGGGCAGAAAGATATATCTATGGAGAGGTGGAATATTTAAAATGCCAAGGATCGTGGACTTGCCATGCTTCATTGTCAAAGATGGATCTTGATCTTCAACATAACCAATTACTTTGGCGGGTATTCCTGCCACCATGCTTCAAAAGTCAAAAACAAAAAACATTAGAGAGCAACTGACATATCATTAGACAATCTGACAATCTTAACATCTTGAAATGAGTAATCTTAGAGCATGTATCCTACTACCTGTGAGGGGGAACATCTTTCAATACAAGTGAACCAGCTGCTATCATTGCACCTTCTCCTACTTTTATATTCCCAAGTATAGTTGCACCAGCTCCGATAAGAGCACCTTGGCCCACTTTTGGATGACGGTCACCTATTTCTTTGCCGGTACCTCCCAAGGTCACACCCTACATGAATTGCACATCCTAGCAAACTTAGATGCCGACTACGATATTATACCAAATAACCAAAAGTGAATTTCTTCCCCAATACTTCCCTAGGTGTGTTACAAACATATGCATGAGCCATTGAAGTTATTAAAGAAATTGCCCTAATTTCCCTAAATAGAAGAAAACGTTTTGAAATTCCAAAATAGGAGCAATGTTTTTATTCCCTAAATAAGAATAATTTTTGTCATGCTTGGAAAATACTGCAAATTATGACAGTAATAATGCCATATTAAAGCCTGGTAATGCCAACATAAGATACTATAACATAGTACTCCTATTTTGGAAATTTACATTTTTTTAACTCTTATTTCAGAAATTTTCCCAAGTCATCATCATCATCATCATGCATAGTTGGATATTTAGTGGTATGTAGTTATTATTGTTATTACATTATTAGTTGGTTTTATATAGTAGATATTGTAGCTGGGACTGTATCCCGTGGAACGGTTGTTATATTTTTATGGCCATGGCCATGGCCCAGTTCCGGGTACGGTTGTTATATTTTTATGACCACAACTGGACAGTGTCCACCTCTAACTAGGTATCCGATTGAGCAGAACGGTTATGGTGTTAGTTTATATTTATTTATTATATACATATTCTTATGTATGTATGTTTCGATACAAGATACGGATAGATATGAATTATGGAATGAATCCAAAAGCTTCTTCCCTGAGAGTTCTTTTCTAGTCATTAAGTGTGTATATGCTTTTCCATTTTGGTTCAATAAATTCTTAAGGTTGTCAGCACCCAAGAAGAGGCTAGCGTCCAGGAGGGAATTAAGGATGTTTTTAATTGGACTGGTCCCAGACATCTACAAGACCACACTTAAACAGACCAGACGGGAAAATTGTAGTGAAAATGCTTTTACTTTTTGGACTGAAATGAATGTAATGTGTTTTAATGACTTGTCTAACATCACATTTGTTATTCAACATAAATCATAAAAAAACATTGTTTCTATATCTTTAGATAACTCAACTCCTTAGGCAAATTAAGGGAAGACGAAGATGTTCAACATACCTGCATTAGTGAAACTCTATTTCCAATAACAGCGGTTTCACCAATAACTACGCCGGTGGCATGGTCAAGAAGGATTCCCTCTCCCATTTTAGCAGCTGTGACCAATATATAGAGAATAAAATAAGAGAAACAGATTCAACGGAAAGTGATCCTATTCAGTTTTTACATGAACAGAACATTTGTAGACAGAAATGGGAGTTTTAGGATTGCAAGATGGGAAGAGGAATGGAATTAGTGGATGGGGAATTAATTAAAATACTACAGTTTCTTTGTTGGGTAACAAATTTACTAGATTACTCCAACTAAAACAGTTTACATCATTATTCATTAATGACATGTTTGACATTTCAAAAATTACACATCCCCTCCCATCAAGGTAATAAAATAGTGGGATTAGAAGCCTCTAATTCCAATTACCCTAATACCATCAGTTATCTCATTCTCAACAAACACATAAATGCATTTCACAAAATGTCATTAAGTCACATTCCCCACCATAACTCCATCTAAACCAATGACCCATTGATGACCAGCAATAGTTCAAA